TGGCTTAAGACACCACCAAAACGCGCCGAATAATAGCTATAAATAGTATTTTCATTTCTAAAATGTATTCAACAGATAAATAGACAAAAATAAATATCTTTGAATAGTATTCACCAATATTTTATTAACCAATAATATAAACCAAATTGTATTTCAATTGTTTTTTCCAATTAAAATTCATATTAAATTTGCTTATATTTTATAATTATTTTTTTGTAATTAAATGACAGCAATGCATATCAAATAAGTTATAAGAAAGTTATTACAAATTTAATACTCATTTTATTAAGTTTCCACTTTTAATAACATGTTTAATAAGTTTACCGGTGTTTCCAAATTCATAGACAATATGTCTCCAATCGGGTGCATCGATGACCACCACATCGCCAACTTTTCCCACTTCTAGAGAGCCGTGTGTTTGCCATCGATTCAAAGCAAACGCCGCATTAATAGTGGTGGCCGTCAACGACTCATTGAGAGTCAGTCCACACTTTATTACACTTAAATTCATTGCCATCGGAAGGGAATAGCCTTTAAATTTAAATTATTTTAAATATTTAACTATAGTTTAAACTTTAAATAAGGAAAAACTTTAATTACACATTGCGTTTGGATTGAAATCAGAACCGACGGCTATAATCACATTATTGTCAATCATTTTGCGGACGGGAGGCGACTGTAGTTTCAATAGATATAGAGTTGTCGGACAAACTAAAAACTTTAATTACACATTGCGTTTGGATTGAAATCAGAACCGACGGCTATAATCACATTATTGTCAATCATTTTGCGGACGGGAGGCGACTGTAGTTTCAATAGATATAGAGTTGTCGGACAAACAATGGCCACAATTTCATGGCTTGAAAGTGCTTTTATTCCCTCTTCGCCTATGAATTCCAGATGACTGACAGATCGGGCCTTAACTCTGGCGCCCATCTCAGCGGAACCCAAATGATTGAGTTCTTCGCCATGAAATGCTGGCAAAGCGTTCAGCAATTCTTTGCCCGCATTCAAGATGTGTTCACTTTGTTTCACGTCATAAACGCCTTCAAATGATAGTTAAATTAATCATTATATTAAGTATGAGATGAAAATAAATTTAATTAAAACCTTTTTCGCAGAAGACATCCACGAACTCAATGTTCAAATTCGGATTATTCTTGAATTTTTTCATCATTTCTATAACCGATTCAACGCCTTCTTCAGCAGACATTCCACTGAAATAATAGTTTATAAATTAGTTTATAATTGTTTTCATCGGTTTGTTAAGGCATACGTGGGAACTGCATGTGCGCCCAGAAATGTAATCACCAGATCCATTGGTGACAACTGTTTGGCTCTTTCAATAACAGTTAACATTTTGGTTTCGGTCTCTAAATCTAAACCATAGCCCGATTTGCATTCCAATAAAGTGGTTCCACAAGACATCATATCTTTAATTCTGGCCAAAAGTAGATCTAAAAGTCGGTCTTCGGATGCGGACTGTGTCTGAGAAACGGTATAATAAATACCGCCTCCTTTCTCATGGATCTCCAAATAAGAGGCGCCTCTCGTCTTGGCGTCAAACTCAAAGACTCTGTCGCCGGCGAACACCTGATCCGGA